TTCTGATCTTTTTGTAAATAACATGAATTTTTTATTCTAAGCAACTAAATGAAAATGGAAGGTGAAGGAAAGACTGTCTAGAAGGTATCAATAATTTCTGAGTCAAAAATTGTTCAAAAATAAATACATTAATGAACATAGAAAACTAGTGCATCCTAATGAAAAAAATTCATTCAACATGTTTATATAGTGAAGAATTGGAGTTTATGGACCCTTTTACAGTCTTTAGTCTCGTTTTATGCATCATATGCCAATGACCCTTCCTTCTCAAGCTTTTAGATCAGTTACCTATGGGGTGTCCTACATAGAACCTAAAAGTAGCCAGTTGTACAATGGCACTGAGATAAAATCAAGAGACATCTAATTTGAGATATCGCTTTGTGAGCCTGAAGATACAAAATAAAAGGTTTTGGGCTAGGGATGGGCTGAAGTGTTTGTGACCAAAAGAGCGTGCTGTGATCTAGTAACACCGAACACAGTTTGAAAACTAAACTTGGGCCGAATCCAAGGCACCTGGTTTTTGTTACTGAAACACAGCCATGCTCATTCATTGCCAAACATCTAGTCACTCTGAGTGCTCATTCATGGACATATGGTCCCTGGTTCCTTTCAAGCTACAATGACTGACTTAAGTAGGGTAAGAGACGATGTGCCTGCAAAGCCTGAACTACGTGCGATACGACCATTCACAGCTTGCCAGTCCTCAGTCCACTGGTCGCTGATCTCTCTCATCAAACACCCAGGCGATGCTCATCCATCACCGCAGCATGTGGTTAACCTTCCATATCCACAACTTTGCATCCCTGGATTGAACCAACTTCAGAGCATTTGAAAACTGTTACCTGTACTGAACAGGTAGACATTTCTTGTCACTATTCCCTAATACAGTGTAAAAACTACAAAGGATTTGTATTAGATGTAAGAAACTTAGTGAAGATTTAAAGTAAATGAAAGGATATATGCTATATGCAAACACTGCATTTTATGTGAGAGACTTGAGCAGCCCCAGATTCTGGTCTCTGCAGGGATCCTGTATCCAATCCCGAGGATACTTAAGAGAATCTTATGCTATCTAGGCTCATTGATTACCACTTGACCAATGGAATGTTGCATAAATGTAGTGAGTTTTCAAGCTAAGCTTATGGTCCTGGCAACCTACTGCCCCTGTAAAGGTAAAATGGGAGGAGACAATGGTAGCTGACCCAGACTAGGAAAAAGAAAAAAACAAAACAAAACAACAAAAAAACAAGTATATTGTTGATATTCTATGGATTTTTGCTGTGCAGCAAAAGCCAACAAATACAGATTACTAAACCTGACTACAGTTTTCTAAACACACACACACACTTTGGGAAAATAAAAACTTGTATAAATATTTCAATGCTTTTATCTAAGGGAAACCCCAAAGGATCCTGCATATTGCTGAAACCTCACTACGCTGCCGTCCTTAGAGATTTCACCTATCACAGAAAACCCACTCCAGTGCTGGCCCTTAGAGATGAAACTGAAAATGCGTGCAGGAATCTCAACATTTTGATCAAGGCTACCCAAGCAGCAGTTCACTATCCTAATAAACGTCTGGAAGCTAATGGCCACCGCTATGAGCACCTCTTGTAATTGTAGAGGGTGCCTTGTATTAAACTCATGATGTCAATTCAGTATAAAACATTGAAAGTTTTCTTTTCCTGAAGTGTGTAGTTTGTTGGTTACTGTATACGCTCATGGAGACTTGACTTCTCTGACTGAAGACACTGGAAAGATCCTGAAAACCAAGTATAGTTTAGTCTTTCTAGGCTGTTTCAAAACTTTGACTGGATTAACTACATTATTTCCTCTTCCTTCCTATGGTAAGCGAAACGGAGTCAGAATCAGCCGTGATCTAGAGATCCACCAGCCTGCCTCTGACTCTTACCTTTTCTGTGCCTACTGTGATTATCAGACAAATCAGAGCAATTCTTTCGGATCCTGGTTCAAATGCTTCCTTTCTAAGTTGAGCTTTGAGGAGGGAGTAACAAAGGCAACTGGAATCATAGATCAGAGCTTTTCCAATCTAGCCTTACACATGAGGCTCACAGTTTGACTAAGACTTACTCAACTTCAAAATTCCGTAATTGGTCCTTAAGGGGCAAAATAAATAATGGATCCTCAGAAACCTTGTAAGAGTAAATAGTGAACATGTAAACGACACCCAAGATGATCAAAGAACATGCTCAACATTTAAAAACATAATTTCACAGAATTTAGTCTTACATGGCAAATTATTAAACCTATAAACAATGCTTTATCATGTCATTTTTCTTGAAATCAAACTAAATAACGTCAGTAATTCGCTTCAGAAAGATATTCAGGGTCTACAAACTTGTCACTGAAAGCCCTCCAACCTGTGCTTATCCTTAGATGTTTAGCCTTTCCTTTGATTCTCTGTTCCACAAATATCCTACCACAGGGAGATCTCCCTAGGGCCAGTTTTTGTTTCCAATAAGCAAAGGGTCAGCTAACACAATACTGGTACCATAAAGTGAATGAAATGGCATGTAAGAGACTATCTGGCAGCTCCTACTATTGAGGCTAATATTTGAATCCAGAACATTAATTCTACTCTTACTTTTTTTAAAAAAGAAAGCAGTACTAAAATAAATCACAGGTGGTAATATTAAAACCATTTTGTTTTTGTAGTTTGCAAATATAGACAGATAGCTGATATTTAAATGTTACCCAGTAATATGTAGTAATGTTGTTACTGGTGAGTTTTTTGGGGAGAAGGGTGAATCACATTTTATTAGTCTTGTTAGTAAAAAGGCATTCAATGCTTCTGAAAGTCACTGTTTTCCACATTTTAAAATCTATTGCCTGTAAGAGAACCAGCGTTCTCATCTTCATCTCCTTCCTGAAGCTCCCTTTGGCTTCCCTTTTCAATCTCAATTTCATGTATCAGAGGTTATGAATAGTCCAAGAATTCAAGTAAATCTTTTAATCTTAATAGTATCTACTTTATAGTGTACTTGATGTTTGGAACGTACATTTGATTGTACCTAATCCATCATTTCTACGCATGCAGTTTTTATTAAGGTAAAAACTGATTTTTGCTGTTTTTAACGTTACATACCGTGGCTACTAAACTAAAATCAAAATGGATCAAAGAACTAAATGTTAAAGACAGACACGCTTAACCTGCTGGAAGATACGTAAAACTCCTGAAGACAGAAATGTAGGCCAGGACTTTCAGAACAGAACTCCAATGGCAAGATCAACAAATGGCATCATATCAAATTTAAAAGCTTCTGCACAGCAAAGAAAACAATGAACTGTGAAGAGACACTCTACAGAAAGGGAATGACTTTTGCCAGTTACTCCTCAGACTGAAGAACTAAGAAAAAATTATATTCTCCAAAATAAAAAACCCAATTAAGAAGTGGGCAACTGAAATGAACAGACACTTCTCAGAAGTACAAATGGCTAACAAATATATGGAAAACATTCAATATTCTTGGAAATTAGAGAAATGCAAATTCAAACACTGATATCCCATCTTAACCCAGAAAGAATGGCCATCAGGAAATCAAATAAGAAACACTAGGGAAGCTGCACAGAAAACAAAAATGTCTATGCTGCTGGTGGGAATGTAAATTAGTATAACCATGATGGAGATCAATGAAGATTCCTCAAAAAACAAAAAATAGAAACTCCTTTTGACCAATTTTTCCCCTCCGAGGTATATTCCTAAAGTTAAAGATCTGTATTACAATGATACATGTGAACCCATATTTTTAATAGTACAACTGATAGAATCTGGATCTTAGAAGCAGCCCGTATGTCCACAAATGGGGAGAGCAAATGTGGTACCTATACATGGTGAAGTCTGCCATAGAGGATTAACTCGAGTCAGTTGTAGGAACATGAATGCACCCTAAGTCCATGTTAGGAGAAATAAATCAGGCATATAAGCTTCAATATCACATGGTTTCTCTTATATGAGAAATCCAAAATATAGAGCAAAATAAATGGTAACAGGAAATGAGTCAGATTGTTTTCAAATGGGAATCTGAAAAAAACTGACGTGTTTTATACATGTTCCAACTCCCCATAGAAATGTAAATATTACGTAATATAAACAAATATACAATAAAAAATAAAACTTGAAGTGGATATGGTGGTACACAACTATAACATCAGTATTTGAGAGGATCTCAGTGAGTTCATTCAAAGTCAGCCTGGGCTACATAGTAAATTCAAGGTCAGTCTGAACTCTACATAGCAAGACCCTGTCTCAAAAAACAAGTAAACAAAAACACCACACAAAAAATATTTCAAAATAAAAACTGGAGAAAAAAGTTCAAAAGCTTCACAAAGACTAAGGCCTTACTCCAGCCATCCTGACATTCTGCATATGCTGTCCTGTATATTTACAGACACTAAATATGTAATGCTGCATCAGTGTATACAAACTATGGTCTGTACCTAGCAAAGAAGGTTAAATGAGATAACCAACATAAACAGATTAGGAGAGTTTCTAACAACAGTGTTTTAAATGATTACAAAATAATTAAGATTTAGAATATAAAAATTTTTAGAAGTTTGTTTTAAAATGACTTTGGAAGAACAGGACAGAACTAAGTAGAAAGAATATACTGATAAGCAGTATTAATGGGGGCAAAGAAAATAAGCCTGGTGTTTAAACATGTAAGAAAAATTAGACTGACAGTGAATCTAAGAGTACACAAAGGTAATACAACCCAACATTTGTTAAAATGACCTAATAGCAAATGACATGTGTATTTCTACAATGGTTATTTTACATCTACTGTTATGAGCTCAAGAAAGTATAATCAAAACTTACCAAGTAGATTCAAGTAACTCATAACTATGCAAGTTTGTGTAATTGTAGGCTCTCAAACACAACAGGCATAAGAAATCCCTTGCTATACTAAACTTATTCAACCATTTACCATTTTTGGTATTTGTGTTCACATCACACAAACACCAAAATATTTTAAAACAAATTTAAAGCATAAAAGATACAACTTTATTTCATCACTGTCATTGAAAGCTTGATTTTAAAATACATTTAAAAAATTTAAGAGTTTTATAATACAGGACTTAATACAAACATCCATTGCTTTATGGGTTTAAGTTATATACATTCAAATCAAATAATACAATTTTTTTTAATCTTGGAACTATACAATAAAAAGACAAAAAGTCCCATGAAAGCAATACTTCATTACTTTCAGGATCCAAACCAAAGTTCTAAATTTTCAGAGTTTGCTTGTTGTATATTCAGATGTCTCTCTATCCAGCTTGTCTGGCTAAAATGAGTTAGCTAAGTTGCTTTATTGCAAAAGATTTTCCATCTAAAATTACCACCTCCAAAGGAATCCCCTCTACAATGGTGATAAAATCTGCTGGTTCCTCGTGAACAATGTGTAGAGCGTCCATTATGTTAGCCCTACCGAAAGTTGAACAGGCATTCCCAAAATGGAGCAATTACACACAGTTCATTAAAGTAGGTTGGTTTTTCCCATCTACAAATTAATCGATGAAATAAATCATCAACCATAGCAGACTAGGTTTCAGGAAAACCACATTTGAAGATTTTTTTCCATTACATTACTTTCCTAATCTCGTTCTCAGTCATTGACGGGAATTTTGTAGGCCACCATGCTATTTACTTTGTGGATTGTGGTAGTAAATGAACGAAGACGGACTTCCTCAGAATTGGTGATGAACTGTGGTCCCGACTCTTCCCATTTTTCAGGTACAACCAAATCTTTGTCTGTATAGATCAGGAGGTCAAAAGAACCTAAATTGGGGGAAAGATCATTAACATACTTGAAAATAAAACTACCCTCTCAGTTTCTCTCATAGGGACATATTCTGAACCACTCATTATTAGAAAAGATTATCTAGCCTGGTTTCTAATCAATAATTTGTCTTCATCAATGGAAATTTTAGTGCAGAAAATACTATACTCTTCTTTTCTTGAGTACCAGGAATTAGATTCAGGACCTTGCACTTGCCAGGCAAGCGCTGTGCCACTCAGCTACATCCCTAGCGCCTATACTCGTCTATCTTAGCTTATGAAATGTGCACGGTTTTAAGAATACAATGAGCTTATTATCACATGAGAAAATGTAAGTACAAGCCACCAGAAAATTGACAACTTAGTTCTGTTACTGCTGTATTCCAGTGTCCACAAAAGCATCTTGCACATAGTAGGTAGCTGGTAAATATTTGCTGAATGGAGTAATTCAGATAGAAAAGGAAGGGCTGGGGATTTGGCTCAGTAGCATAAGCACCCGCCTGGTGAACACGAGGTCTTGAGTTCGATCCCCGGTTACCCCTCCACAAAAAAACACAGATGGAAAAGGAAGATACGATATTTATAGTTGTATTACACAAAACAAAACAGTGAAAGGAAAATAAAAGTAGTGAAAAGAACAACACTACATCAAAATATTTAATAGTGGGTGTTATAGTATACTTTTTCTTTGCTTTTCAGTATGTCCAAATTTTCTAGACTACATGTCTAGAAAATACTTTTATGTATTTTATACTTTTATAATACTTTCCCTCGTCTATATTTCACTAATGGTTAAGTCTTTTCCTCAGTAAATTTAAGTCACAGAAATGTCACATAATACTTACAAGCGACTTCTAATAATGGAAGAAATGTCACTGTGGCTGTGATCTGTCTGATCACGGAACGGATTTCATCTTGGATAGCTTTCTGAGACTTTTCTCTGGGAGCACTATCCAAAAAGCAAACAAACAAAAAAATCAGTTAACTCATCTTAAGTTTTAATAAGTTACTTAAATCCTTCTGAAATCAAATAAATCATATAAAGAGATTTTAAAAAAATGAATAAAAGCATGCTGAGGACCTGTATCTTCATAAGTATATTTTTTATTATTTCATTTATCCCTCTAATTATCTTTTGGTTTTAATATCAGGTCTAGACACTATGAGATAGCTAGAAAATTTGTCAACTACTTTATTTGTGTATGTATTTCTTTATTCTTGAGACAGGATCTTACCACGTTGCACAGGCTGGCCTCAAACTCCTGGCAATCCTCCTGTCTCAGCCTATGGAGTGCTGGGATTATAGGTGTGCACCACCATTCCTGGCTTTGCAAACTACTTTAATTTAGGAAAACTTCAGTATCTCTTAAAACTAAGTAATACATTTAATTGGTATAATGATTTTGGCATTTTTAGCAATACCTGAATATCTAATTTCCTGTTGGCTTAAATAACACATTAACTTTTACAACATTATTATTTTGTAAGCTATAATTTTCATAAATAAGATCAAACCCTTATGAAGCAAACTACATTTAATTCTAAGAAATAGTCTGAGTTTTCAGAGAAGCATGCCTCGGATAACTCTAAACATGACATTATGATGGGCAGTTCCTGTCTAAGGAGTGTAGAATCTTTATTTATTGAAGTGTCTTAGGTAGTACATGGCATTCAGCAAAGTAGAGCAGAGTTACAACTTAAATTTGAACACAATGTAGGATCATCCCTTATAGTTAAAAGTGCCTCTGAACAATTCATTACATGGCCCACCTGGTATATCTAAATGTATATCTTTGCATACATCACCATAAATCCTCAGGTTCACATTTCACTCAAACTATAGGCAATTATGTTAAAAGTATCCTAACCATACAAAGTAATGACTTATTAAAGCGAGCATAGGGATTTACCACAGGAAACTGAAGAAAACTCACCTTAGAAATAAACTATATATGAAACTATTTGGGGAGTCATGCAGTAATAAAGCAAGTTCTGGGAGAAAAATAAAAACAAAACCACCAAATGGGATATTTTAAATCATACTTACACGTCATCTTTTGCAGTCTTGTCACACTCAATATCAAACTGCCATCTTTCAAGGACTTCACCACTTTCAATATTTGAGATGACTACCACAAGTTTCTGAACTGAACACTTGTATAGCCAATCTGCAACACATAACAATGAAAAGTTACAGTCCACTGCAATACAAAGCCAATCTCTTCTCAGGTGCTACTTCCCATCCTCAGCAAATTCCTACCACTGCTATTGTAGATCTCCTCATACATGTAAGGCAACTGCTGTGTTAATAATCTAACTTGTTTTTAAATTCTCAGTATCGCCAGGCATGTAACACCTGGTGCTTTAGACAGTCACAAACAGAGGGCACTTTCTTTCACCTTAAGGGCACAGCAGTTGGGTACTAATAATCTAACCACTATGCCACGTTGAAATTACGATATCTGCTTTGAAGACAGAAACAGACAGTAAAATGAGAGAAAAATGTGATTTTTGGGAGGTGAGAGACAGACTGCTTTTAGCTTTAAGGATGCATGGCATCAGATACACCAAAACAGAATCAAGTAGCCTCCCAATAATCAAAAAGGACGAGAATGTGACCAGAGGACTCAATGTAGGCCAGTACAAGTGCGATAAATAAAGAGAAAATGAGTTAGAGGATTCCATCAAAATGGGGCTATCTGGCGGCCCACAGCAATGTGGCTCCAATTAAAGACATCACACTTTAAAAACCTGAGAAGAGGGGGCTGCAGATAGAGCTCAGCAGCCTAAGCACGCAAGGTCATGAACTTGATTCTCGGTACGCACCCCCCGCAAAACACGCAGAAGATATTACTGTGTTTGAAGCAGGATATCATGTAATTACACTTATATTTCAAAACTATCATTTTGGCTACCATGAGAAAAGTAGACTAGAGTGTAAAAAGGGAATTTAGTTAATCAGTATTCCAAGCAAGAGGTGAATTAACTAGTAGACACGGCACAGAAGATATTACATGTTGGGGGGGGGGTTCCAAGTTTATGACTTGTATTTCTCATTGGACAATTAAGCTATTTATTGAAAGAGGGCCAACTTTGTAGATGATTTTAAATTTTGTTTCTACTATGTTGAGTATGAAGTATCTCTGGAATAGCATATAAAGCTAACAAAGATACACAGGTATGGAATAAGAGACTTGGGTTAGATACAAGTTTGTGAGCCAACTACACAAAAGCTATTAGTGAAGCTATTTACACATCAAAGATGACACATGCAGGGCTGGGGATTTAGCTCAAGGGCATAAGTGCCTGCCTTGCAAGCCCGAGGTCATGTACCAATAAAAAAGTAAAAAAAAAAAGATGACACATGCAGATTTTAAAGAAAGAAAAGGGCTTCAGAATGAGACTTAAATTAATGCTGGAATTGGGATAGCATATTCAGGAAACAGTCTAGGTGTCTGAAAAGGTAACAAAAACGTGCTTAGCTTATGGGAGTACAAAAATAGCCCACCTATTATGTACAGTCTGTGGGGCCTGTGGTTATGACACATATCAACAATTTTTATTAGCCTGAAAATGAGATTAAGTAGCAATTTGAAAAAGATTTAGGGTGGGTAGTAATTTGATTTTTTTATTGTAATTTGGAGAGATGACATCAATGGGAATAATGCAAATCAAATCAGCAAAGTAAAAACTACAACAGAAGAAACAGGATAAAGTCCTCTGAAGGCTGGTGGATATAGGATTCAAACAAAATGAATAATTTTACTCTAAGGGAGAGCAATTCCTCTATTTTAACTAAAATAAAAAATAAGTTAAACAAAATCGAGATACACACGAAGTGAAATGTCACCAGAGACAACCCAAACAGCTAGCCCCTGGGCAAGTCTTTCTCCTTTGTTGGAAGTCTTTCCTTCCACCAAATTAAGATGGATACCCAGAGCCACAGCTGCCTGGATGTCCCAGGTCAAATCATCTGGGTGCAGCCTGACAAATGACTTCAAGTGATTTCATCCTGATCAGGATTCTGAATGCAACTCTAGGAAAGTGAGATGTTTGTTTACACGTGAGAATGAAAGCCTATCTCCACATCCTCATATTGCTATTCTGACAGCAATGATCTACAAGAACTGAAGTTTTCTTGATCTGAATCTAAACAGGACTTCATACTCCAGTTACAAAAAATAAATCACATTTAATATTTTCTTCAACAGATAATGGAACATCATCACAAATATGTAAAACTTTAACCTGTCACGTTAGCACATTTACTGCAAAATTCCTTTATAAGGGGGTTGATTGTGACTATGTTGCTAAACCATATAAAAGATTTTTTAAAAAATTTTATTTAAGAGGAAAAAGAGAAAAACACAAAACAAAACAAAGCGGTGTAAGGTTACACATAATACAGAACTACAAAAAAAAAAAAATAACAGTAAGAAATCACCTGTTAATAGATTACATATTATCATCTTGGAAATAGTTGCTCAAATCACAGTATCAAAGAATACAAAGTGGACATTCAAACAGAGAGACTGCAAACAGCTGTGTTCAATGATCCAAAAACATTGATATAGTCAGCTATTTAACACCCCTAAACACACTTGCTGTTATATCCGTTAGAGCTCTTTTTTTTTTTTTCCTCCCTCTCTTTTTTACAACAAAATTTACACATTTTGGATTTTATTACTCCTTAGTTCTTATAACTTTTTTGGGGGGGGAGATAATAAAGTCAAATATGGCAAAACAAAGCTGTCAGTCAAAACCAAGGATAGACATAGCACATGATGTAGAAAAGATTTTTAACATAAAACATTCAACCCATTTAAAATGCAGCAGAGATATGTAGGGTTTCTATTTTTATTCTCAGTTGAGAATTACTGTATCTGAGATTTTTTTTAATATTTGTATGTAAAGAGTTTAAAAATGGCCAATTGAGATGTCAAAAAAATGTAAAATGTGGATCCTAGAAAATCTGTAAAATTCAAAAGTGTTAAAATGTTAAATACCTTTCAGTTGTTCCACCACATTATTGAGGTATTTTATGAGCTCAGGATCAGTAGTTACAAGCAAAGTGAGTCCGTATTTCTGCACTCGAGTAAAAGTCTCAGATGGATATATACCACGCTGATATAAAATGCTATTGATGCCAAATGCTGCAAGCAAAAGAAACGAAAAAGCTGTAAATGCTCAAAAAAGGGTTTGCATTTCTTACTGAAAGCAGAATAGGTACCAAGTGTCACTAAAAGTCTTAAAATCTTGTCCAAGAAGCTTCTGCACTTAAAGCTGCAGGCAAAGAAAAATGTCAAATGGCATTAACTGCTACTGCAAAATTTCACCTCGCTGTAATCCAAGTCCAAATAGGCAGCTGTGTCCCTATTAGCAACGGTCTGGTCTGAGGCCCACGTCCCTACACCTCCCTCCTTCCTCCTTTTCTTCCGCAGTTCGGGTCAGAAGGTGCAGCTGGGTTGCTTTACTTTAGGGCGCGCGCAAGGGAGGGGGAGTGAGTCTGGATCAAATCGCAACCCCGCCGGGCCCATTCGCTGTGTGCAGACTCTGAAAGGCGGGGCGTCAGGGAGGACACAGAGGCCTGCGAGACGCCAGGTCGCAGCTCCTGACGCTAAGCCCACACTGCGCGGCCGGCCTGGCTCCCACTGAAGCGAGGCGGCAGAGGGGCCCGCTTGCGCACCCACCCGTCCCCGCTGCGGGGTCCGCGAGCCGGAAGCCTGAGACCAGCGCCTCGGAGCTCGGTCATCCCTGGCCTGCGTGGAGGACTTACAAAAGAACTCGGCCACGATCTCGGCGCTGCCGCGCAAGGTGATGCCCTGCTCCCGGGCGAGCTGCTGCGTCATGGCTGGGCCCAAAGACCCACTTGGGCGCAACCCCACTATGCACACAGAGACAACGCACAGAGACAGCGCCGGCTCGCAAAGCACTCGCGCGCCTAATGTTCGAAAATAACGACGCAGCGTGCCGCCGCCGGACCCCTTGCGCACGCGCGCCCACCGCTAAGGCCCGCCCCCCGCAGCCCCGGCACCTCCCTTCTTCCGGCCCTCCCCCTCCGGCGGTTTGACGGCGCAGGCGCACTGCGGGGCTGTTTCCGGATGCCTGGCGCTGTACGGCATGGGACATCTTCCGCCCTTGATGGGAAGGACGGAACTAGGAAAGGAGGTGGAAAGTGGATGGCAGGGGCCGAATGTGATTTTTCAGGCCGCTGTGAGTGTCCGGCAGCTATGCTGGTGTAACCGAGATGCAGTGCCTGTGCACCCGCGTAGTGTCTAACGGACGATGGCGACTTCCGCCGGGTACTTCAGGATGTAGAAAACCTGCCTGCGCGCAACCAAACTGCAGCCCCACGGAACCTGACTTGCATGTGGGAAGCTGCTTTTCTGAGAAATAAGATTAAATAAGGGCAGAAAGGGGTAGTCCGACTTTCTGCCCCTTGTTCTGAAGCTGGGCAGAGTGGGGTGATGTCCCACCCCGGTGGCTTTCTGTCCATCTCGCGCACCCTGAGGCAGCTGGCCAGGAGTAAGGACCAGAAAGGGCCAGCCACGTTGAAGAAATTTTTTAGTGCATCTCAAGTCACAAGTTAAATGAGTTCATGTTAGGGTGAAAAATATTAAAAAGCTGATCCACCATCCATGGTCGTGTCAATTGTGAAAAAGATTTAACAAGCAAGCAAAATTACTTGGAAAATGAACTCTGAAACTAACAGGCATACTGTTACTTATAGAAGAAATGCTTGAATGTGTTAGTTTTGTATTGCTGTATAACAAATTACCGTAAGTCGAAGATTTTTAAAACAGCACCTGTTTATTACCCAGGTGCTGCAAGAAAGGAGTCTTGAGGAGGGCGTAAGTGTATACTCTACTCAGTATTGCACAGGCAGAAATCTCTAAGGTTTGACTCCTAGTTGCTAGACTGTGGTCCCTGTTGTCTTGCTAGCTGTTAGGAGGCCAGTCATCATGTTTGCTAACTAGGCCTTCTTATAGTTTCAGTTTCTTGATTGGAGAGCTCTGAGTCCCTTTTAGAGTGTCATCTAATTAGATAAGATCATGTCGGATAATCTTCCTTTCCATGAAATTGACAGCCTCTCATATTCCTAGGTCATGCCCACACTCAAGGGGAAAGGATTCTATAGTATGTGCTCACTAGAAGCCAGGAATTGAGCAATCATCTTAAAATTTTGCCTTGCACAGTATTGTATATCATATTTTGATAAGTTTGAAGAGTAAAACGATGTAATGGATGCCTTAACCCAATACAATATTTCTTTTTTTTTTTTATTGATACCAGGGATCAAACTCAAGGCAGGCACTTATGCCGCTGAGCTAAATCCCCAGCCCCTAGTAAAATATTTGTTACAGCCTTAAGTCTCTGTATGTGTAAATCGTAATTTTGAATATGAAGAATAATGGTGCCAGGATAATTAAGGCGTAAGGGAATTGGATGCCTCACCTCACCTTCCACTGAAAACTTTGGTCTAAGGCCAATATTCTGACTTTACTCTGGTAGGTATTATAGTTAACTTTCTCCATGTAAAAATCACTTCCTTTTTAAAAGAATTTTGTGCTAAAGCTTAGTACTTTGGGAAAGGATTGCTTTGGTTTCATGTTATAGTTTATAAATTATCTGCAAATGCGAATAATTGTTACTGTAACCTGGAGATTCTAGAAATTAAAAGACTAGCAAAAAGTAGTTTTTCTCTCTGTAGAAAAAGTATTTATGGTAGTAAGTATCTGTACACATGAGAAGATATAAAAATAAAGTTTGAAAGGTGTGTCCTTGCGTCTTGAGTTTACAATCTAGTCCTAAATATGTGTGCTTTTTAAAGGATTGGAAGTTTGTGGATTTGGTTTTATCTGGCTTCTGCTTGCCTTGGCTACTGTGTTTGGATTACAGTTACGTGCTGCATAGTGACATTTTTGGTTAGTGAAGGATTGTGTTTATGATGGTGTTCCCATGAGATTGTAACGGGGCTGAAAATTCCTGTCATCTAGTATTTTCATTATATTTTTTCTATGTTTAGATAGTTTAGGTACACAAATGCCTACTGTGTAATAAACTGTGGGTTTGCAGTTTAGTAGCCATGTGCTATAAAACATAGTATAACCTAAGTGTATAGTAGGCTATCTAGGTTTTTATAATCACACTTAATGGTTTTCACACAGTGATGAAATTATATAACTCATTTGTTGTTTGACTGATTGATGAATGTACTTTCTAATCTGCTCCTCTTCCCAATTTAGCACTTCATAATCTTTTCCACATCAATGCTTTCCATAGTGTGCTTTGCTCTGGCTAGAAATTTCCTTTTTATTTGCTTGGATTCCTAATTAGTCATTAACACTTAAGAGTTAAAAGAAATTTTGCTTGACTCTTCAGACTATGCAAGACTTTGACATAAAGTATTCTCAGGGAATCTCATCTGGGAATCTGAAGTGCTACTTCAGATGATTTCTTTGTTAATAATTATGTAATGATTTATATCATATTTACCCTGATTTCCTATGTCAATCATTTCAAGTTACAGTAAATCTACAAACTTACTGCTGTACAGGAAATACAGCTCTCTATCCTGGAGACTCAGACCAAGTATTAGGGCTGTAAAAAGGTTGCTACACAGAGTCACAGCAATGTATGTGACATAAAGAAAGGAATACTTTGACCTTTTTCATTTGTTTATATTTTTTGTTCATTTGTTTACTTTTTAATGGCAAATAGAGTTGTTAAGCTGATTTGCCCATATTGGCTTAATCATAGTAAGAGGATCTAAGTATAAACCTTAAGTTTGTTTATGACTGGGGGATGCCATTTCAGGAAATCAGAGGACTTAATTTTTTGATTATATTAATAGGAGTTGCGTTGCGTTGAGGGTAAACCTAAACCATGACCTCCACTTTTAATTTCTTTTAACACCTGTATTATCTAGGATAGTGTTTAATGAATTTTCAATAAATATCTGGATGTTTTCCTAAAATAAATTAATGGAAGAAGCTTGAATATTTTTCTCATTTTTTAAGAGTAAATATAAATATATTTTATTGAGAGAAAGAAAGCTTCTGTCTGAGAGACAGAAGGTAGACCAGCATGAGGTGGGACAGATCATGGTCAACCAATAAGTTTAATTGTTTAGGTAAAATTAACCAAATCGGGGACAAATGGGGAAGTGAGTCATATAGCAAGTGAACATTCTTTACAGATCAGCGACTCTTCCTATAGAGGATGAGATGTGACTCCTGGCTTCTCAAAGTAATCCTGATTTAATCCCTAAGGATTATACTTAAGGGTGTGGTTGCATTTATTTTGCCTTCTGTCTTGAGATCTGGCCCACAGCAAGAGGTGTGTGTCTCCTCCAAGGTCACCAGACATCTGGTCCTCTGTGCCAGCTTCTTTGAAAGCCTAGTCCTGTCTGACTGCCTGTAATATTTCTAACTGGCTCAGCTGCCTGCAACATTCCCCTCTCTGAAGAAGTATCCCAAACTTCTGTGAGGGAGAAATAGGTGATGACTGATCTAACTTCTTCAGGTTGAAAGGGGTTCATAGTCGTTGATTGGCAGTCAGAGATACTCTACAGAGCTCCTAACTATTGGCCCTCAGTAGACACTAGGCACATTCATCTTGGGTGGGCATAGAGCTTTAATTCTGGAGGAGACAAAACCAAAGAAGCAATTAAGTATGCCTGGGCCAAATAGTAGAATCAACAGGATAATTACAGGATAAGTTAACAGTTCTAGCTCCAAGAGGAGCTAGTAATGGCTTCTCATAAGGAGGGTAAGGACAGGGTCCAGGAAATTTTAGAATCTGCCATGTCATTGATTTGTCATTTAATACCTTGAACAGTAAATTAAGATATTGGCAAAAAGATCAGGAATGCACACACATTTAGTTTTTACAGTTTAAGTACCTCCTGGGCTGTTAGCATGTCTAATGCCATCGGATTTTAGAGGATGGCCTGTTTTATTAATTTTACCTTTTTTATTTACAGCTGCAATGTCATGTGCCAGTATCCGGCAATTGGCTGGTTTTTACCTCTTGTCATGATTAGTTAGGGCTGCTTCTGGAGATGACAGGTGGAGATGAGTCTGGCTAGAGGGAGGAGACCAGTGCCCTGGGGCCCTTCAGTCCTGCTGGACCAGCTGATAGGATGGGTCTGAACCCTTGGGCCTTGGCCTCAGAGGACAGTCCACCTCCAGTGGTCCCCTTTGCAGTTAGGGCTTGTGGCAGCGACAGCAGATAGGTGTCATCCTGGAGCTCTTGGAAACCCAAGAATCAGACTTTAAGGTCTGTGTTTTTAAGACCACAATAAAGGCAGCCTTTTTTTTTTTTTTTAAATCTCTTTGGTTTTCTCTGATTCCTGATGATAAAATACTAAGGAAGTAGTTTTTACTAAAGAATCAAGAGAATTACCTGGAGCAAGAGCTATCTTTTGTAGCTTTTTCTAATGTCTAGAGTTAAGCAAAATTGAATCAGGATTGGGCTGGGGATTTAGCTCAGCGGCATAAGCACCTGCCGCAGTCATGAGTTCGATCCCTGGTACTGACAAAAAGGAAAAAGACAAAAAAAAAAATTGAATCAGGATCTACGGACATAAGTTTTATTAGTGCCTCTGATAACTGATCTAAGAAGTCAGAGGGGTTTTCACTTTTCTCCCGAGAAATAGCTGATAATTTAAAATAACTGGAAGGCTTGGTTTTGTCCTTCTTAGACTTTGGAGAATACACATTTGAAAATATCTCCTGTTTCAGTCTCCTATGTTGTTGTCAGGCCACTAGGGGTCTTGGGTGGGAATGCTTGTGCACCAGTGGGAGCTGGTGGTTCTCGTGGCTGTGAGTCTTCTGGCCTTTTAAAATTAACTATATGATATTTGTCTCCAAATACAATAGCAGCTTGGAATGCTATTTGTCAATCACTAGAAGTCAATGTTTGATTTAAGAGTAACAGTACATCTTTCCAGCCCAGTTTTTGGCTCTGAGTAAATCTAAATATGTTGATGTGCTTATC